ACACACACACTCCTCCCTCCCTCCAAATGCCTCTTGTCCGGCCCCCTGATCTCTGTGTCCATTGGCTTCCACCGTGTCTATTTCTCATGTCCATGCCCCCCCTCCTCTCTCTCTCTCTCTCTCTCTCTCTCGCTCTCTCTAATGACCGTCCATTGGTGTTGTTATTGCGCGTCCCGTCCGTCCCTCCTCCCACTCCCACTCCCACTCCCACTCGGGTGCCTCGGCCCTGCCCATGTTTTTGTATGTCGGGTGTCCGTCCACCGCCTGACGTTCAAGTTCGCCCGGAACGTCACGTCCGTGCACTTGAACTTGCACGGCTCAGAGGGGAGGGGGGTGAGGGGGGGTGAGGGGAGGGGTGGTAGCGGGGGGGGGGCTTTTGCCATTTTTTCCATCTCTCTCCCCTTCTCTCTCTCTCTCTCTCTCCATCCACCTCTCTCTCACTCTCTCTCTCTTTTTTCCTCAGCTCTCCTTTCTCAAAAAAGCCATGACGGCGATCCCGCGATCCATCTTCGCCTCCGCGCCATCTTTGTGTTATTTCTAATTTATTTTTATTTTTTATTTTTTTATATTTTGGTCTCGTGGATGTCAGAGGCGTTGGATGAAGATATTTTCTTGCCCCACCGGAGTCTCCTCTCTAACCCCGGCTCTCCCCGATGTGATCCGCGCTGAACGCCGCCGCCAGCCACCATGTCTCGCCGCAAGCAAGGCAAACCCCAGCACTTAAGCAAACGGGATTTCTCGCGTAAGTAGAGATGAAACAGGAAAGAAACAAAATTTGTCACATTTCTGGCTCCCTTTCAATGCACTCATCAGACGGGGAGGGGGGAAACCAGCAGCAGCGCAGGAGCTTGTGGACACCGGACGCTGCGCTCGGACCCGCGGTCAACTGGACTTAACACCGTGAAGAGAAAGTGCGACATCCTCGTGCGTAAAAAGCCGCTCGGAGATCTCCCCTCGAAAGAGAGAGAAAAAAGTTTTGTGTGTCGGTTTCTACCTTCTCTGTTACACGGTGCGTTCAGATGCTGTAACGTGCACTCGCTTTCTGTGGCTCCGGTGCCCCCCACGGTCGCCCCGGTCAGTGGAGACGCGCGGGGCACCCGGTAGCAGAGCGCGTCCTCTCCGCGGAGGTTTTGTGGAGCATCGACCCCCTCCCCTCACCCATACCTCCCCCACCGGAATATTTGTCTGATAGTTGTGCAGGTTTCATCTGCTCCCTCCTTCTATTTTGGGATTATTTAAAAAAAAAAAACATACACAACTTGGAGGTGGATGTTTGGATCGATGGGGGAAAAGTGTTTACAACTATCCCCTCCTCTATCAGCAGCAGAGACAACACAGATCGATTTGTTTTACACACTTTTTAAAAATCCTCATGCCTCGTATGTAAAGGCATGTTTATTGTTTAGTTTGGATGAGAGCTTCTCTTCCTGAAACACTCCACAGTCTGTGCTGCTCAGAGTAAGAGATAAAGCAACAGGACAACAGCAAGCACAGTCCTGTTTTATTCAACAAAATCTAACTAAAGGTTCCTTCTTGCACATGTAAGGTGAGACACAAAAACCAGGTATTGTCCAGCTGCAGCATGTGAGGAGAAGCGAGCGGATTCCAGCGTATGTTTAGTTGAGGATCCGTTTTTACGCACCGCGTTTCTTTATCCACAAACTTTCAGTGTAATTCTTTTCGTGAACTGGATTCATTGGGACCCACGAGTGCCGATGAGTGTGTTTGGAAACTGCGGGGCGAGTGCCAAAGTGGCGTTTATCAGGGCAGCATGTGTCGGAGCCGTGCGCCACTTCGGAGCGTTTCAGCGGCTCTCCAAGTGGCTCCAAACATAAATCAAGAATATATTTGGGCATGATTACGCACCGTTGCTTGATCATGTTTCGATATGTTGACTAGCTGTTGCCTGTGTTTGCTTTGGAGAGACAGTGTGTGTGTGTGTGTGTCTGTGTGTGTGTGTGTGTGTGTGGGTGTGTGTGTGGCAGCGGCTGGGTGACAGCTCAGTCACCATGGCCATGAGCCGTCGCTAGGAGGCAGAGCGCGATCAGAAAACCCAGCGCTGAACTTGAACCTGATCAGTTTCACCGCAACCCCTATCTACACGGGCTACTATTTGGCGATCTCCTCAGAATAAAGGGAGAGTGCACGAGAGACAGGACACGGGGGAGGAGGGGGGAGGATTGAGGGGGACCCCATCGCCAAATTTACAATTCCTCTTTAATTACCTTCACATGCACTTTTTTTTTCTCACAGTGTCTCCCTTTTTGTTCATCACATCTCAACAACATGCAGGCTGCAAATCAGCATATGCAGCTTCACTGTAATATTCCTGCAGACCTCGCCTTTCACCCCCCCTCCCATTAAACCTTACACCACACACACGCTCGCGCTCGCACACGCACACACACACACACACACTCGCCACACACATCTCATTTTGCATATAGATTCACATTTGTTAGCAGTGGAGCTCAGATTTCCGGCCTGTCGCTCTCAAGCAAACATCCAGCCCTGAATATTTCTTCTTTTCTTCTTTTTTATCGCCCATACTTTTATTTTCTACATTTCTCGCAATTCCACATTTCCATGACATAATTTCACTTCTCCTACATTTCCATGATCTGGATGAATATAAGAAGTAAAATTATAAAATGCTCATCAGTGTTTTCCAGTGTTACATTTCCTCCTCCACAATAATTTACATTATGGTTAATTTCCATATTTCCATATGTTTCCACATTCACTGTCATGTGGAAGATTTAACAAACTGTTCGATAAAATGATTTCTAATTGAGAGTACATTTACACCTTTTAGTTTTATTCTCTCTCCTTTAGGAAATGTGATAGTATGTCATGTGCTGATGTGTGAATCCATCTTTATTCCATTTAGCTGCACTGCCTTGAAAATAAATACAAATAAGATATTTAGATGTGTTCCACTTTTCAATTGAACTCTGCTTGAGAACCTGCTTTGTATTTTTTTTTAAACCAAATTTAGCAACAAAATGTTTGATCAAATCCTGGATATCCGCTTGTCAGCTCAACTGTAAAAGTGAGAGGCTCAGGCAGCTTTCTTTAATTTCTTTCTCGTTGTTTTATTTTGCAAATTTAATGCCCGCTGTGTGGCGTTGTGTTGACCTGAAGTTAAATCAAAGGGGAGAGGGGTACGGGAGGAGGAAGGGGAGATGGGTGGGGGTGGGTGGTGGAGTTGGTGCAAGCCAGGAATTTATCATGTTATCTCCATGTCCCAGTTTGCGCACAGATGTCGCGCAGGATTGCAGCGTTCAAGTGATATTTCCTTTAGGGGATGTCGTCCAAATTCAGACGCTATCTCCCCCTTTCTTTCTCTTGTTTCTCTCTCTCTCTAGCTCTCTCTCTCTCACACACACAGACACACATGCTCACACACACACTTGCACATTCCCCCACACACACACTTTGTTACACATGCATGCACCGGAAACCCCATCCCCTTTTATCAGACAAAATCTGTACCAATCACCCAGACTGTGAAAATTAAAATCTATTTTTTGATTCTCAGTGGTTTTAAGTTCATTAAAATGTGAAATTGGCTGCTGAGTAAAGAAGGTCAACATGCATTAGGCGGCTAGCGCAGAGTCAGACTCTTCACCTTGGACTGGAAGATTTTCCTTAAAAGAGGGACAGTGAATTATGTTCTCCCGTTTCACTCGTCTAATTCAGCGGCCCGCTCTGTTCACACTCATCTTCCTCCACTGAGCCTGACAAAAGGCTCCTTAAAAAAGTAGTCAGGAGTTAATCCCGCCTCGGAGGGGTGAGGAATCGGGTTGAACAGCTCATTTTGGGGGCGATTTCCCGCTGTACAAGCAGCTGGTATCCAAGAACTATAAGTCGGGCACATGTAAGTGAGAGCGGGGGAAGAGTTTTTCTTCTCCCTGACACACGCTCTCTCTTCCGCCTGCATTCTCTTCCCTTCATCCCAGCACATGTGTTGGACATGTTCGTGACAGTTTTCCCTTCAGCTGATTACAGGATCAAACCCTGTACAAACAAGGTCAGGGAAGTGAAACTCATCCTTATAGTTAGTGTTTTGGTGAACGCTGTGTGGAACCATCATTTTCTAAGTTTCCCCTGTCATTGCGTATGAAATTGTTATCTTTGATGAATCTGATTTGAGCTTTGCAGCTATTCAGGATATTATTTCCCACCATTTATTCTTATGATGTGTGATCCAGATCTGTTTGCATTGTAATCATTTTTTCTGCAGTACATGCATTTCTATCATTACAAGGCACATTCTCTCACCCCCTTATTGTCTGTACCACATGGCAGGCTTTCATTTAGCTCAGCCTCTTTAAATCTCATCCTCTGAGAGACAGAATGACACTCTTCCTTGTCATCCATTCCCACAAATACTTTTATCAATAGGTTTAAATTACAGAAGAGAAATAGAAAATATAAACATGTTTTTTTCTGCTTAGAGTAAGTGTCACCTTCTCATTTACTCTTTTTTGCAATCTCTCTTTTCTCTCACCCTCCCATCTTCTTCTACCTCTCTGCCTGTTCCCCCCCTCTGCTTCACCAGCAGCCGAGCCCCTCTCTGCGGCCGTCGTCTCATCGGAGGAGCTGTCGGAGCGCTGCTCGGAGCTCTCGGAGGAGAGTGGCAGCCTCAACGGGCATCACCCGGGCTCAACAGTGGGCCGGCTAGCCCGGCTGGGTCACGACGCTCACCCGTCTCTAGAGCAGGACCTGCTGACCTGCGGCCAATGCCAGGCCACCTTCCCCCTGGCGGACATCCTGCTCTTCATTGAGCACAAGAGGAAGCGATGCCATGGGCCACCCTGCCTGGCCGTGGGCCGTGGGCTGGACAAGCCCCCCTCGCCCTCCCCAGGCCTGGCCCTCACCCCGTCCCCTGCCCTGGGTTCCCTGCGCAGTCGCAGTCGCAGGCCTGTGGAAGTGGGCGTCCAGGCCACGCTGGCAGACGATGACGATGACCGCTTCTTGTTGCCCAGAGGGATTTGTCCGAAACAGGAGCCCCTCCCAGGTAATCATGCTGCTCTCACACCTGCCAACACTGATCACCTCTGGCTGGATTTTTACAACAACTGCTGCACAAAGACGCAGCAGTTTAGCTGAAGCAAGGGCTGTCAGATGTGTATCTGCTTATGTGGAGTAGATTAAAATCTGACAGAACAAAGACAGAGATGATAAGTAGTTCACTCTTTCCCTCAAACGTTTTCTGAAATGTTACGTGTCCCGGCATAAACCCTCTCCTGCAGCTTGGAAGCAGCTTTCAGGGTCCAGATTCCTCTGTTCTTTTCGGCACATTGTCATTTTGGTCGTATGTGTTGCCCTGGATGGCTGGACGCTTGTGGTGGTGTGTGTTTTCTACAATGTCAGGTCCTTGCTGTTGTATCCCCGATGCATTGTGTGTATGTGCGTTGTTGTTCAACAAGCCAGCGTAGTCTGCAGTCTAGCATACATGTTGCCCACGAATGTTCCTCCAATGCCTTGTGGGGGCTGTAGTCGTCTGAGCATTTGTTTGGTGGAACACACACATGCCAATCCTGGTTGACGGCAAGAAATGTGATTGGCTGAGATTTGCTTGAGGGTGGGTGTTGTCAGACAAACAAAAACAAAGGGACGTCACAGGTGGGGCGGAAACCCACGAGAATACGCCTCTGTTCTCTTCCACAGATGACACAAAACCACGCACACTGGTTTGATTTAGGATAGCTGTCTCTGTCTGTCTGTGTGTGTGTGTCTGTATTGTTTTTTCGTGTACTGACTCATGTAGAGGGGAGTGTGTACGTGTGAGAGCGAGAGCGAGAGAGAGCGTAAGAATATGTAACGGACCCAACTTTGGCCGGATTCAGTGAATTCAACGCAGATATTGGGTGTGAGGGTGTACGTCTTTGTGTGTGTTCGAGTGTGTGCGTGCCTGCGTGGGAGAGAGTGTTTGTGTGTGTGTGTGTGT